CAGGAAATGATAGGATCAAGAGTTAAATTGAAACTCGTGTGAACCCAAAATTCCTCATCCTCCCCACTTCTCCAACCAACAGGGGAAATGGGCTCACGTGGAAACCCAGGCTCACCGCATTGGACCAAAGGCTCACACTAATGTTGGCAGTCATTCTGGAACATGCCCCCATGCTCTCCCTCTACACCACCAGAATACCTTCACTTGATCAGGCCACTCAAAAAAGGCCCAAACCAGGCATGTTGACACACACCTGTAAATCTCAACCCTGGAGAGGGAGAGGCAGGCGTATGAGGCCAGCCTGTACTGTGTAAGATCCTCTCTCAAAACCAAAACAAACAACAACCACCACCAAGACCAGGTACCCTCTGTTCAACATTCAGATCCTCCCCACAAAGCAAATAAACCAGACCAGGACTGGGCAGGGCAGGCCTGGAACCCCAGCCAGCACTGAGGAGCTTGAGGCAAGGGGGTCAGGAGTTTCAGGCCAGCCTCAGCCACATGGTGCGTTCAAGGCGTCTGACTATATGAGACCCTGTCACAAAATAACCGAAAAAAATAAACAGACTAGAAAACAGGGGCTAGAGATGGCCCAGCGGTTAAGAGCACTTGGTGCCCTTGCCGTTCAGTTTCCAGCATCCATAGCTGACAACTGCCCATCACTCTAGCTGGGGGGCTCCAGTGCCTTCTTCCGGCCTCCACTGGCAGCGGCACACATGCGCACATATACACAGATGCAGAAATAGACAACTCTTCTTTAATTAAGAAAAGAAAACATTTGTCTCTTTCCTTATTTATCAGGCACTCAGGAAGTTTCCTTTAGAGTCCTAGGTCAGTTCCCTGTATGGCCCACCCCCAAACCATGACAGCTACTAAGCATTTTCCAAGACTTTAGATTGTCCTACCTACATGCTGCCACTCACTCCCATGGCCCCTCTTCGGGCACCCGCTCCCCCTCTGCAAGTGCCATCCCTTACTACAGAGCTTGAGCTCAGCTTCCCTCGTGGAAGCTGCTTTGTCTCTTTGGAACATCTCCTTACACACTTATACATGGCACTGTACTAGTGATTAGAATTTTAAAATAACTTTTATTCCTGTAGGTATTTACTGTTAAAGAGCATTTTCAGAGGTATTAGTCCACTAAACTGTTTCTGTTTGCGGGAAACATACTACTGCCTAGGCTAGCCTGGAAATCACTGTGTATCTCAAACTGTCCTTGAATGGGAGGCAATCCTGCTTCAGCCTCCCAAGCACTATGATTAAAGACATAATGTTTACTCAGATAATACTGTCCTTCTGGGTCTTTGATGGAGTTGAAGACTAGTTATAGTCGAGGTTTTCCTTAGTTATGACTGAAAGTAAGTTAGATGTAAAATTTTGGATTCACTAAGATAGGGTAGATAACACATTATTTTCTCTGAATATGCTAACTACACATGGGCAGAATATTGTGAATGCAATCCTTACTTGATAATCGTTATTGTATATAGTCTTACTATGTTTAAGTTAAAACCCTTTCATTTTTTAGACAAAAAGGAGGAAATGTGGTAGAATATTATCTTAAGGTGTGTTACTTTTGTTTATATTGCATTTGTTTAACTCTGTGAAGCTGTGTTACTGTGCCTGTCTAAAACACCTGATGGTCTAATAAAGAACTGAACGGCCAATAGCAAGGCAGGAGAAAGGATAGGCGGGGCTGGCAGTCAGAGAGAATAGATAGAAGGGGAAATCTGGGAAGAGGGACTGAAGAGGAGGAGGAGGACATCAGGGACCACCCAGCCACCCAGCTACACAGCAAGCCACAGAGAAAGAGTAAGCTTTACAGAAGTTAGAGAAAAGGAAAAGCCCAGAAGTAAAAGGCAGACGGGATAATTTAAGATAAGGAAAGCTGGCTAGAAACTAAGCCAAGCTAAGGCCCGGCATTCATAATTAAGAATAAGCCTCCATGTGTGATTTAGTTGGGAGCTGGGTGGCGGGCCCCCCAAAAAGGAGTAAAAACCCCCAACAACAACCGAAGCCAGGGCTGGAGAGCTGGCTCAGTGGGTGACAGTGCTGGCTGCTCTTGCAGAGGACCCGGGTTCAATTCCCAGCACCACATGGTGACACACAACCATCTATAACTCTAGTTCCAGGAGATCTGATGCCTTCATCTGACCTCCACAGGCACGTAGTGCACTTACATATATGCATTCATACACATAAAAGCAAACAAAAATTAAATAAAGACACGGGCAAGCATACCTGACTTAGGCATGTTTCCTAATATTGCTAACTAATCTTGCTAGGTCTGGTCTTTTCCTGTAAAGGGGAACAGTTTCATTACCAGCCACCTCCCCCATTTCCTCTGAGGTAACACAGGGAGAGGATGCTGAGACGATGGTGAGAACCACAGATGGGGGAGACATTAGGTGTCATCGTTAATCATGTGCTCCCACTTTTCTGTGGACTTGAACTTTTGCCCAAGGCCATCCCTTTTTTTTCCCCCTTCTTTGTGGGGTCCAAAGCACAGCTAAGAAAAATCCTTGGGCCAGTGTAGTGGCACATACCTTTAATCCCAGCACTAGGGAGGCAGGGCCAGGGAGATCAAGGCCAGGCTAGGTTACATAGTGAGTTTGAAGTCAGCCTGAGCTATAGAGTGAATCCCTGTATCAAATAAATAAAAACAAAAACCAAAAAGTGTTCTGTGGGGACAGCAATACTTAGTAAGGGGATGGATGGGAAGGCACAGGACAGGGAGAGAAGCAATGTTTCAAAGAAGGTATAGTGAGGAGAGGAAGGGATGCAGGTACAGTGAGAGGATATATTTCCAAAGAGGCAAGTGATCTTTGACTTCTCTTTGAAATGAGATACTGCATGAGGCTTCCTCTAGGGAGTTCTCAGGAAGAAGGAATAGCAGCTACGTTCTGAGTCTGCTTAACCAGGGCAAGTAAATTCCATTCCCTGTGTTCTGAGGGGAATTTCCCAACAAGGAAACCAGTGATGGGGTTGGCTAAAGAGCTAGCTGGAAGAGCAGAAGAGCAGGTTCTGTCCTGAGCCCTGGAGCCAGCATCAAGTTCCAGGGCAGCTAGCAAAACTGTGACCTTGAAGCCACTTCTCAAGGAGGTTATCTTCAAGGTCTTCTCAGTTCTAACACTTTTTTTGCCTGATCAGAAGAAATAAGAAATCATGCATCACATTTATTTTGGAAAACCAGACACCAGGGGCTGGGGAGATGGCTCAGTGGGGTGGGGGTGGGGGATGAGCGCTTGCTGCACTATCCTGGGAGCTAAGCTGAGACCTCAGGTAATGCACTGGTGCTGGGCAATGGGGAGCAGAAACAGGAGGATCTCCAGGAGGAGCTAGCTCGGAGTTTACTCATGGGCAAAGAGACCCAGGCTTAAACAAGGTGAAAGGCAGGACTGATACCTGAAGGTTGTCTTCTGACCTCCACATGCATGCTATGGCATACGTACAGCCACACAGACACACAGACACACAGACACACACACACACACACAGACACACACACAGAGAGAGAGAGAGAGAGAGAGAGAGAGAGAGAGAGAGAGAGAGAGAGAGAGAGAAATACCAAACAAATCCAATTCGAATATACTAAAACAAGAAAGCCATCCTAATTTTCCCAGAGCCTCCGAAGCCCAGAACTACTACCAGAGTTGCCCAGAAGATGACAAAATAATTCGGTCTGGTTATCCTGACGGCGGAAGCAGTGAGGTGGGAGCCCAAGGAATTCTCACACTCATGTTTCCACTTCCTAACAACAGGGAACTACAGAGGCGCTCAGCAGAGCGGGGGCTGGGTGTGGGAAGCATCTTCCTGAGCCCCTGTCCTTGACCAGCTTTTTACCTGAGGTGGCTCCAGTCTGGTGCCATCTTTTGGGCATTTGGGGGAATCTATAACAAATGCATCCTGCATTCCTGCTGCCCGCCTGTTCTCTGTCTCTCGCAGTGACACTGAGCTCTGAGCACGGGATACGGGAGTCTTCCTATCCCACCTCTGTCGTGTATTGGCTGGCTGACACCAGTCAGTGTTAGCAGCTAGTATGGGTTTGTTTTTTCGCCAGGTCAGCATTGCCCTGTCTGCAGGCAGCAGGCAGCCTTTGGAAAGTCTTTCTCCCAATCCCCTCCCTACAAATACGAAACAGTCTTTCTCTCCCAGTCCCCATCTGTCAGCTCTATTTAAAGAGGAACACACAAGGAATAGTATTTATATTATCGCGCCATGCTTCCCTTCCTCAAAAAGGAAAGGTTCTGGAATGTTCCCTACTCCATATTCCCCTCAACCTACTCCATCTACACCCCTGACTGTTCTTCCTCTCTTAGGATAGATGCTGTAACCAACACTGTGGGGTCCTTTGAAGTCTTCTGACGGCTTTTGCACGCATAATTTCGTATGGGTAAGCAACGCATTTAAAACAATCCTATGAGTCACAGACACTTTTCCTACCATTTCACAAATATGACATTGAAATCAAATTCACAAATTGTCCATGTTCACACGTCTAGAAAGTAAGTCTCACCAGGACTCACTCAAAGCCAGGCCTCATGATCACTTCTCTACCATTCCTCATTGTGTGGACCAAGTGTACATCCCGGAAGTATGAGGAACTTGAAGTTTGTGATGAGTCACAACACCCCTAAACAAACAGACACTCCTCCATTTTTCTCTCCTATAGCCCCAGCAGTCACACAACACCTGTAAAATGCAGGGACAGGGCTCCACAAGAGACCTAAAGGCCCACAAGGGTGTGGAGTTTTTGTAAGAGCACAATTAGGTCATGGAGGGGGGGAGCAGACATTCCAGACCACCAGGCAAATCCAAAGGAACACCCCAGAAAAATACCCAGGGCCCCAAATAAACTAGTTGACCATCCCTTACCCAGTGTTCCAGTGGAAAGGCAAACCGATAGGCTGCTAGGCCTGGGAGCTCGATCAGGTTCAGACGTACACACCCATGCCCTCAGCAGTCAGCTCTGAACTACAGAAGCCAAACCTTGAGCTTACCCAAAAGCCAAAGGAGAAGCAGCCACAGCCCGGGTCCAGGGCTCTCGCTCAAAGCCACTGTCTCCTCAGACGCTGGCCTTCAGACAGGGCTATAAAATGGGCCTCAACTTAATTTTTCCGCGGACGTGGTCCCGAATGGGATTGCCAGGCTCCAGAGGAGCTGCAGTTCCTCGGCTCACTGACAGTCCTCTAGGAGCTACAGCGAGGGCTGGAGACAGAGGGAATATTTGTGGGTCAGGGTGGCCACTCCTGGACCATTTCTCTCCTGAATATCTATCTTTCCAAGGCCTAAGGGAAGCAAATAGAGTAAGTTTTCATTCAGGACTGTTTCGGGGCTGGAATTCCGTGCAAATTGCTTACATCTGCTTGGCCATTCCAGAACAAGCAGGTAGTTTAGAGAAAGGAGAGGCAGTGTGAGCTCACTTCTGGTAGCCCAGGTAGCCTGCTAAAGAATCTCAGGCCTGCTGGGGCTCCTCATCAGTCCAGACTGCAGAACTCTCTGACCAAGTTAAATAAAAGAATACCAGGGCCGCCAGAGATAACAGGACTTCCACCCTAAGCATGCCGGGTGGGCTGGGACAGGGCAACCACAAAGATCCCAAAAGGGAGGTGAGATGTACCGCCAGGTTGCCCTGAAGGAGCAAGAGCAATGGCAGATTCCCCACGCACTTCAACCTCAGCCAACAAGGGTGTATGCACTAACCTCATATATTTGGTAACCTCCTTCCACATCCCAGGAGCCTGCCAAGGCCCTGGACTCCCCACCCCACCCCAGCTTGGCAGCCTTGCCGGGGCTTCCAGCTTCTATCACACCACAACACCAAAGCTGCTGCTGTATGGAGCTGAAAAAATGAGGCACACGTACGGCCCCGAAGAGGAGCTCCTTTCTAGAGGGGCTGGGGACTCGGGCCTGAGGGTCCCAGTCTCTCCTGCAAGCTTTCAGTCTCTTTGCTGCTGCAGTATCCTTATAAGGCCAATCCTACCCTCCTCCTGGCCGAAAAATGTACACAGTCCCAAGGGTGGACTCTGACTTCTCACCCGCTGCACAGGAAGCACCACTCCCATCACCCCCACTCCAGGACAGGTTTTGCTCTTAAGCAAACTAATAAACAAATCGACTCCAAAGCGGTCCCCTGGCTCAGCTCGCCCTGCAGCTGCACCCGAGAAGTGTGTTCCGGGGGAGGCGGCGGGTGACTGCCCGCGAGGCCGCGAGTCGCTGGCGCGCCATGGGGTGGGGGCGAGCAACCTGCCGGGCGCCGGGGACCCGGCTGGGCTCTCGGCGCTTCCATTGTTGCCCCTGGCGCTGGTGCTTCGGAACCAGAGCCCTGCCCTCGCCGCCCCGGCCAGCAGGGCGCTCTGCAACCCCCGGGGCGGTGCTCGCCGCCGAGTGCTCGTCCTACCTGCGCTGGCCGCGGGTTCCGCCGCGACACCCTGACTGTCGTAGCTGGGCGACTTGGGCTCCCACGCCCCAGCTCGCTCTGAGGCTCCAGGAGGCGCCGGCCCCCCGCGTGATGTTCAGTGCCGCCCGCTCCCCTCGCCCACCCCACGGGCCGGCTCTGGGGTCCCCGCTGCCGGGGATGCACAAGGCAATCGACGGGTGTGGGGGGCCGGTGCGGGGCCCGGTGCTGTCTGCCGGGAGCGTGCACGAGCTCGCAGTCAGGCGGCCCCGGGTGAGACAATAGCGCGAGCGGCGGGCGAGCGGGGCGAAGCCATCTCCCGGACAGCCGGCGCACTGCACGGCGTGCGAGGCTCGCCGGCTCCTGCCAGGACCGCGCGGCCCAGGCCGCCGGCAGCAGCCGCAGCGCCGAATAGCCTCGTCGCCGGAGCCGGGAGGGCGGGGCGGCGGGAACCCGGGCCCCCTCCTTCCCTCCCTCCCTCCCTCCCTCCCTTCCTCCCGCCTCCCGCCTCCGCACCGTGCTCGGCGTCGGACCCCGGACCCCAGGGCCAGCAGTCCCACTCCCCGCTAGCAGATGGTCGTCGCTTTCCGGGCTGGAACCCTTGGCTCTGAGGTCAGGTGAAAGCAAGCCAGATCACCCTATTGGAAGGGACCCGGGGTGGGCGTTCAGTTACTGGTTTGAGGAATTTCTCTTCATAATTATGCATGCTAGGGATGCCCGAAAGAACTACCACCTTGATGGAGGAGGTGCAGGAGGGGAGGCTGTGTTGGCACTTTTCTCTCCCGTTTGCCCAAGGGCGGTCTTGCAACCTGAGGGGGGGAGGAGAAGCAGAGGAGCCTCCAAACCAATTAAGATAGGAAGAAAACTTTGAAACTGTTATTTTCTCTGAGCACCTCCCTTAAAGCACCTGTGTCAAGCATTTTACTAAAGGCTCCACCCAGTCAGTACGGGCCAGCTCCACGTTTGCATCTGGTCTGCAAAATAACTCCGGATCTCCAAGTACCCTTTCCTCAATCATAGATCTTGTTCTCTGCTATCTTCTTTTCTTGCTTTATTTTTTTCCCCCAGTCATATTGTGAAGATATGGTTCTCAGCCTTCCTTCTCTTGAATCCCCTTCAAGCGTTGGGGAATCTGAGGTCCGATGCCCATGCCCTCCAGCCAAAGCTCCCATGGAATCAGCTGCCAAGCATCCCCTGCCTTGCCTCAAGGAAATACTTAAGACTTCTAACCTGCTGAGCTGTATGGTCAGGCTTTTTTTTTGGGGGGGGGGGGGCGGGAGGCGGTTGTTTTTGAGACAAGGTGTGATGTGGCCCAACTAGCTTCAAACTCGATCTAAGGGTGGCCTTGAACTCCGGATCCTCCCGCCCAGCACCTCTCAAGTGCTGAGATTATTGCCATGGCACATCACACTCGGCTGGCTCTTGGTGTGGTTGGCAGTAGTGGGGATTGGACATAGGATGTCATGCCCTAGTCCTAGCTCTGTATGCTCTAAAATCCACTTAACTGGGTGGGGTGTGGGGTGTGATTTGTTATGGTAGCAATAGTAAATACTATGTTTAGTAATAGGTATTTATTTTAATAATTTAATTCATTAAATTTTATAGAGTGAAGACAGTGGTCCCCAGGAGAAGCTTCTCTACAGGGCCTCCATACACACGCTTTCATTTTTTTTTTTCTTTTCATTTGAGACAAGGTCCCTCGATGGCCCACATTGAAACTAGCTGGCCAGGGAACTCAGGGGAATTCCCTTGTCTTCTCCCATCTTGCCATCTCTGTGATTACGAGAGAACCACAATGCTGGGTATTTTTATTGGAGATACTGGAGATCTGAATTCAGGTCCTCATGCTTTCGAGGTAAGCTCTTTACCAGCTGAGCTATGTCCTGGGTTCTCTTGTCCTCCACTCTCCTCTACCTACCCTCTCTCTTTTAGGGGGAGGGCAACTTGCTTGTTTTTGTTGAAAGAGTGGGTCTCACTATAGTCAGATCTGGCCTCAAACTCCCAATCCTCCAGCCACTGCCTCCTGAGTGCAGGGACTCCAGGCCTGCACCACCGCACTTGGTTCCATTGGAGACTTCTTGAAATGTCTTTTTTTCTTTTTCCTTTTTTTTCCCCTCCTTGAGACGGGGTTTCTCTGTGTAACCGCCCCAGCTGTCCTGGAACTCACTTTGTAGACCAGGCTGGACTTGAACTCTGCCTCCCCGATGCTAGAGTTAAAGGTGTGTGCCACCACGCCCAGCATGAAACATCTTTCATTATTCTCTGTGTTTGGGTGTTTTGTTGCGTGTATGTTTGTGTACTGCATGCATTCTTGGTGCCTGTAAAGGCCAGAGGAGGGGGATGGATCTCCTAGAACTGGAGTTTCAGTGGGCTGTAAGTCACCTTGTGGGTACTGAGAATCAAACCCAGGGCCTCTGGAAGAGCAGCCCATGTTCTGAACTGTGGAGCCATCTATCTGAGAGCCCCTTAGTCTTTCCTATAACCAGCAACTTCTTCATGCCTTGTAAATGACTTCAGGTCCTAATAATAAACAGTGGGTTTAGAAGGCTAGCGTGGGCCAGACATGCCATTAATCCCAGCACTCGGGAGGCAGAGGCAGGTGGATCTCTGTGAGTATGAGGCCAGCCTGGTCTACAAAGCAAGTTTCAGGACAGCCACAGTTGTTACACAAAGAAACCCTGTCTTGAAAAACAAAAAAATACAAAACAAAACAAAATTTAGAAGGCTAGATGCTAATATCAGAAACACAGGAGAGGCCAGAGGCCCACATCTGTAATCTCAGCCTCAGGAGACAGAGGCAGGGGGATTGCTGTACCTTTGAGCTCAGCAGATCAACCCAGGCCAGCTTTCTCATTGCATCACTATTGGTGACACCACATCCCCACCTTAAGGGCCCATCAATAAATGTGTGTGTAAGGAAAATGTGACCCTTGTCTACTGCGGAATACCATCCAGCCTTAAGAACGAAGGAAACTCATTTGCATCTGCACTGATGAACGGGGAGGATATCACACTCCGGAGATTAAGTCAGATGCAGAAAGACAAACACCGTATGAATTCACTTATGTGGAATTCCAGAAGTCAGACAGTCAGAAGTGGAGACCAGACTGGCCATGGCCTGGGGCCAAGGGTGGCGATGGTAGGGAATGAGGGGTTATTACTCAGAGGAAAAAGATTTTCAGTTACACATCTGGGGGAATCTAATGTACAGCAGAATGACTATAGTTAATAGTGCTACAATGCACTCACATGCACCACCGTTAAAAGAATTAGTGGGAACTGGGCACACCTGTAATGCTAGCCCTCCAGAGGCTGAGGTAGGGAATTGTGAGTTTGAGGCCATCCTGGGCTGCAGAGTGAGACCCTGTCTCAAAAACAAAACAAAAGAGCAGCAGCCTGAAAATTATTAGTAAGTGAAATTAAGCTCATGACAACTCTAACAGCCCCCGCTGGGCCTGACATCACTTGTGCGTAATCTCTGCAGTCCAGAGGGGAGGACGGAGGATGACGAGCCCCAGGCCAGACTGGGATAGATGAGACCCTGTCTCAAAAATAATACTAATAAACAAGGGATAGAGAGCTGGCCCAGCCGTTAGAGCACTTGCTGCTCTCAGAGGCCCTGGGCCCACATCAGGCAGCACATAACTATCTGTAACTCCGGTTCCAGGGTTTCAAAACCTCCTCTGGCCTCCTCGGGCATGTTCTCCACTTGGTGCAGAGACATACAGGTACCCATACACATACATTTAAAAATAAAATAAACTTAAAAAGGAATGGGAAGCTCCGCGCACAGAAACTCCACGCACAGAATCTGCGCGTTTAGCCTGCCCTCTAGTGGAAACGTGAAATCCGACAGTCACTGTGTGGAACAGCTTCAGGAAGCACCCAGGAAGGTGTGTGCCAGGCAAGATCTGAGACGGCACCTGGGATGGTGTTGTCACACAACAGATGTGAAGCAGAGCCATTTCCTGCTACCCCCGCTGGGCCCTCCAGTTTGAACGAGCCAAACTTCTAATAAAATAAAAGTGTCCTCCTTAGCCTGCTCCAAGCCTGGCCACCTCTCTCTACCTCCCTTCTGCCAATAGTCGGTACAACGTGTGCTCTTCAAGTTCCTTTCAGATTTGCCGTGTTCCTCCCTGCTACCTTGCTTAGTTTTGGCAATAGGAGATATTCAGTAAGCAGTTTACTGACTGGCCAATCCCATTTTGTCAGTTAAACTTGAAACTTCTGGCTTTATCCTCCAGCAGTGAGGAGGCCTTTGGGTAGGAAAAACCATGAAAGTCTCTTTATTCTTGTTCCTCTCAGGCAGCCTGGACAGATACCATGTCCCTTCCTTCAAAATATGGCACACAAGGTGTAGTGTTCCACAGCTTTAATCCTAGCCCTCCGGGGGCGGAAGCAGGCAGATTTCTGTGAGTTTGAGGCCGCTCGGGTCTATATAGTAAGTTCCAGGCCACCCAGAGCTACAAAAATTCAGAGGTGTGATTCATCCCCACACCGCATGCCTAGAGACAGAGCAAAGCAAGGAACATTTTTCTTGCTTGATATACATCTGACTTGCTCAAGAAATATATCCAAGTCATTAATGAACGAATGCCTGTTTGGCTCTTTATGATTTCTTCCATCTGACTGGCAACTGCTTCAGCTCCACTCTGATAATGTGGTTTTCTTATAAAAGGGCCAGGGTTAGAGTTTTCAGCAAGTCCTACTCCATTGCACCTCAGCTCCTGTATCTATTGCTGTGTGCATTTCTTCAAAGCTGTATTTCCTTCCATGTATGGTGTCTGTGTGTTTGCCCATGTGTCTGTATCCACCAGGTGCATGCAGGAGCCCCGAGGAGAACAGAAGAGGGTGTGGGATCCCCTAGAACTGGAGTTGCAGGCAGTTGTGAGCTGCCACGTGGGGTCCTATGCAAGAACTGACATACTCATGACCACTGAGCTGTCTTCTCAGCCCTTACTGCCTGTGTTTAGTTCTTTATGCTGATCGTGTCTGCTTCTAGGCTCATCTTTCCTAGGCTGCTGCTGGCTCCATGTCTGTCCTATTTACTTCCTACTTCATAGGGAGTACAGCACCTGAACACAACAGTTTATCAGTAAACCTTGGTTGAGTTCAATCATTTCTTGTGCATTCATTTTTTTTCTTTTTCTTTTTTTTTTTTTCAGAGCTGAGGACGGAACCCAGGGCCTTGCGCTTGCTAGGCAAGCACTCTACCACTGAGCTAAATCCCCAACCCCTAATTTTTTTCTTAATTACAAGTTTTTGTGTGTATTTGTGTGGGGGGGTGCATGCATACCAGTGTGAGGGAGTCTGTTCTCCCTCATGTTATCAGGCTCATCGACAAGTACCTTTTACCTGCTCCACCATTAACCAGCCATCCTTGTACATTTTGAGCTTCTTACTTCAGACTTAATTTGCAATGGAAAATATAACAGAATAATAAATGAAAGTTTGGATTTGGAGGGTGTGCTGGCTAGTTATACATCAACTTGACACAAACTAGAGTGAACTGGGAAAAGAAAACCTCAGCTGAGAAAATGCTTTCACTGGATTAGCCTGTGGAGCATTTTCTTGATTGGTGATCCGGTGAGAAGGCGTAGCTCACTGTGGGCGGTGCCACCCGGGGCAAGTGGTCCTGGGTGCTGTAAGAAAGCAGACTGAGACCGGTCAGTGTTGGCGCATGTTTTTAATCCCCGCCCTTGGGAGGCAGAGGCAGGCAGATCTCTGAGTTCGAGACCAGCCTGGTCTACAGAGTCAGTTCCAGGATGGCCAAGGGGTATACAGAAAAACCCTGTCTCAGAAAACAAAACAAAACAAAACAAAAACAAAAAAAAAAAAAAGCAGGCTGAGCAAGTCAGTAAGGAACAATCCTCCATGGTCTCTGCATCAGCTCCTGCCCTGCCTGAGTTCCTGTCTTGACTCCCCCAGTGATGGACTGTGATATGGAACTGGAAGCTGGTACAAATCTTTCCAAGTTGTGTGTGGACACGGCGTTTAACATAGCAATGAAAACCTAACTACGGCAGAAGGGGGGTCTTAGAGGTCACCTGACTAATAGAGGTCACCTGACTAACCCCCCTAGTGTATGTACAGACCCAGGTCTATTTAGGATCCCACAGCTGGCTGGTCACTATTCTTAAAGAACCACACAGTCCTAGGAAAGGAAATTTTCTCCTACCGAGGCTGAGCTCTGTTGCTGTTGTTTGTGTTTGGGAGCTTTAAGTACTGAGAAACAAAGATGAACTCCCTTCTCAGTGTTTGACATTTCATAGCTCTGTTCCACAACCCATGCACCAGATCCGGAAACTAATTACATTTTTAAGATGTATTTTATCTTTAATTATGTGCATATGTTTATGTCTCTGTAAGTGTGTGCCATGTGGGTGCCTGTGGGGTTCAGAAGGGCAAGTTGCTCCCTGTGTAGACCAGGCTGGGCTCCAACTCAGAGATCCTCCTACCTCTGCCTCCAGAATCCTGGGTTTAAGGTGTGCTCCACCATATCCAGTTGATTATTAACTTTTACTCTCAATACTACGGTTTGGTTCCCTTAGGTGTACAAATCTTGCTTCGGAAGAATTCATTTTGGGAGTCTGAAAGAAGAAGAAAAGAAAACCTCAATCAAAATGTAAAAAGTTTAAACTTTCAGTTTTTTTTTTTTTTTTTTTTTTTTTTTGGTTTTTCGAGACAGGGTTTCTCTGTGTAGCTTTGCACCTTTCCTGGAACTCACTCTGTAGCCCAGGCTGGCCTCGAACTCACAGAGATCCGCCTGGCTCTAAACTTTCTTTCTTATGATCTAGATTCAGAGCTGCCTTTTCATCCCCCTTTACTTCTATTTTCCTGAAATAGTAGACCCTCTGGTCAGCAAATCCAGCCTGTGTGTTAAGGAGTGTTTGATTGAACAGCTCCATCATTGGGAGAATGAAAGTATTATTTTTTCATCAATGGAAGAAATGGAATGTGGTTCAGAGGAATGAAATCAAGACTGATAGAAGAGAAAACGTGTAATAAAAAGATCATTAAATGCTGACATGGCAGTGTGCGCCTTGTTTGTCCACTTTTCTGTAATTAATTAGCATTTTTTAGAGAGTTTAGTAGATACTGGCAATTTATCAAACATCAAATATGAAAAGACTTTGGAAAACACATATATTAGGTAAATGGAAAAAAAATGTGAGAAAGTAAATACCGATTCAATACAATGAAAACATACTTGATAGCTAACTAAAACCTAAATTTAACTTGCGGGGGTGGGGGGTTGGAGATGAGGGGGTGGGAAGCAATGGGTTACCATTATATCAAGTAAATCGAAGAGAAAAGGAAACCATAGGGCGCCCGGATAGCTCAGTCGGTAGAGCATCAGACTTTTAATCTGAGGGTCCAGGGTTCAAGTCCCTGTTCGGGCGGCTGGAAATTTTGAGTCAAGTCATATTTAAATAGTTTCAGAACATCTTAAAGACGTTAATTCTTAAGAAAAGAGGTGACTTTCTAAATACAGTTAATGTATTTTTCATAGAATTAAGGGAAGGAAAAGTACTGGCAAAATTTCATCTTCCGCGCGTATGGAGGGCTGGGTACTGAGTGGGTGGGATCCTAAATCCTCACCAGAAAGAGTAACAGAAGACATAATTAGCTTGGGCTATTAATTTTGTACAACTTTAAGCGACCACTTTTCCTTCAGCTGCGGTTAGCAAGGTCTATAGGATAATGAATATTCTTTCAAGAAACGCGTTATCTTTCCTAGGAAGAGGCCACTTTCTCTTTCAACTGTATTCAACTGTATTTAGCAAAAACACAACGAAAAAGCCAAGCGCCCGAACAGGGACTTGAACCCTGGACCCTCAGATTAAAAGTCTGATGCTCTACCGACTGAGCTATCCGGGCTCTTGAGTAGCAGTGTTTCTACAGTGCTTTACATAAGAGTAAGGAACCTTGTGCAATTGTTCCCGTATTCTCGCGAGAGTAAAAGCAGTCCAAATTCTTCCAATTGTGTTTCTGACTCCTTCACACGGGATTCGTGCATTCCCTCGTTAGGGAGACTTTGATCTGTAAACTAATTACACTCGAAAGCTCTGTCTGCGGTTGTAGTTTGTACTTTGAAGCTCTATGTTGCCGTTGACACCAATGGCGACAAAAACCCTTGCAACAGGGTTGGAAAAAGGGAGTTTTCAGAGCGACTTCAAACATGCTGCTCTGAAGTATAAAATGGGGGGGAGAGGAGGGGTGCTGAGTTTATCCTGTGACTCTCCTGACCGTGTTCAATTTTCCACCCTCCACCACAGAAGTCACCAGCTGCGACCCCTGGGGCAGAAGCTGAGCTAAGCCAGAGAGGGAAAGCTCGCCACCGCCGCGGAGAGATGCCGTTTCTCTTCCTTTGCAACTGAGCACAGCTCTCTGCTGGGGAGCTGGCTCGAGAATGGGAGGGTCAGGGGCTTTTGGTGGCCGGTTTTGCTTTCCCTTAATTGCCTTCGTAATTGTCCTCAGAGTGATGGCTTTGCTCTAGCAACGCCACTCGAAGAAATGTACCTTTATAGCGATGGGGGCTGGAGGCATCGGGCTACATGGTAAGGCCTGCATGCTCCTTTTCCAGAGAACACTAGCTCTCAGCCACCGGCCGCCACACCCACCCACCTACCCACCCACCCATCCCTAAAACGGAAAAATAATAGAGATGTGTAAAAGATTTGACTACAGAAGAGATAGCATTTGATTGGAAACGATATAAATGGCTATGTAAATTATGATTCAATTTTAATATAGATTTTTTTTTTAATAGAATCTCAGTTAACCCAAGGCCTGGAACTCGCTTGAGGCCAGTTTGGGCTTAATGGTTAAGAATACTGCTCTTCCAGTGGCCAAGAGTTCAGTTCCCTGCCCCCATACCCGTGACTCACAATTACCTGTAACTCTAGCTCCAGGCAGATCTAATGCCTCACATCTCCCTAAGTACCTGCACTCATATGCACATACATCCAGACATATACACACATACATAATTTAAAATAATGAAAAACTCTTAATTACCTCTGGGCTGGAGAGATAGCCCAGTAGTTAAGGATACTGGTTGCTCTTCCAAGGACCTTGGTCAATTCCCAGCACCTACATGGTAGTGTATAACTGTAACTCCATTCCAAGAGTATCTAATGCCCTCTTTTGGCCTCTGCTGGCACCAGACACGTGGTGTACAGACACACATTCATCCCCACACACAAAAGTAAATTAAAAATACTTTTTTTAAAAAAGGCTTCAATGGTTATGCCAAATAGGAATATTAAGAGCTGTAGATTCATGTGCAGTTTATACATTCAGTAATGGAGCCATAACAATTATTTTCCACGTTGAAAAACTAAAATTGAATTGCTATGCAGCAACATGCACAAAATCATTTCTAAGGGCTGGAGAGATGGCTCAGTGGTTATGAATACTGACTGCTCTTTCAGAGGACCAGGATTCAGTTCCCACCGCCTATATGGGAGCTCACAGCTGTCTGTAATTCCAGGATCCAACACCCTCACACAGACATACATGTAGGCAAAACACCAATGCACATAAAAAAAATCAATTCTAAACAGGTTTGTTATGGAATGTTATTTTAAGATGTGTTGCATTTGTTATGCTGTGAAATCTTTGAGAGTTTTAGAAGAAAACATACCAGCACATGTTTCTTATCTAAAGACAGAGAAAAGTCTCTTAAATAATACATAAATAACTGAAAATATAAGGGAAATAGTATTAAATTTTACAAAATTTAATATATGTTCATTAAAAAAAAAACCTTTAAATTGGTCATAGTGTAACACACCTGTAATCCCATCCCCTGGGAGGTAGTGAGTTTGAGGCCAGTTTAAGCTACTTGAGTTCCTGTCACAAAAATAAATAAATAAATAAAACCGAAAACCAAACCAAACCAACAAAATACTTCTGTTTATTAAAAGACAAACTGTAAAAAGTGAAAACAAGCTCTGGAAGGGTAATCATAGTACACATATCCAAGGGTTAGGAGCCCCATTATCTGAGGCATTCCTACAAATTAATAAGGAAAGCCAAAAAGAAAAAAAAAATGGGCAAAGGTTAGGAGTGGGAAGTTCTTAGATGACAGCCATGGATCAGTAAATGTGGAAAAACTCATGCCACTTGTTAGCTGGACTGCGCGAATCCGTCTTGTGACTGCAGCTGCTCTCCTGCAGGCTCCTGCTAGTGCGAAGACTGCAGAGAGGCTGTGTGAAGTGGGTCCAGGGGCTGCACCTGCAAAGAGGCCTCCAACGAATGCAGCTGCTCTGCATGATGTGGGGACCGCCTCATAACCGAGCGTAAACAAACGTTGTCGACAAACTTGGGTTTTGTTTTTACCCTGACCCATTTTCAGCACTGCTTTCCCAACTGCAACTGATAAGTTACTGACTTTAAAAAAAAAAGAAGCCGGGCGGTGGTGGCGTACGCCTTTAATCCCAGCACTCGGGAGGCA